CACCTGACCCACTCTCCCCACTCACCTGACCCACTCGCCCCACTCACCTGACCCACTCGCCCCACTAACCTGACCCACTTGCCCCTCTCACCTGACCCACTCGCCCCACTCACCTGACCCACTCTCCCCACTCACCTGACCCACTTGCCCCTCTCACCTGACCCACTCGCCCCACTAACCTGACCCACTTGCCCCTCTCACCTGACCCACTCGCCCCACTCACCTGCCCCACTTGCTCCTCTCACCTGCCCCACTCGCCCCACTTACTAACAAATTCCCAATAACATAACAGCCAATAATTCTATTGAAACTCCAACGGATAAAACTTAATATCCAGCGACGTGGAATAATGGAACTGCAATTGAGGAAACTGAACTTAGAAGAATAGACCTTACTAAATGAATGCCGGAGATTGAGAAATGATTGTACAAATTATACTCAACTCCAATTTAGCGGTACAAAACTTGACAGTGAACGCATTACCCAGTCTAACCTCAAGTGAAACAACGTGTACAGCAGAAATAATGTTGCGCTGGCTGCACTGAGGCATGGAGCACACAGTAGTACATACAAGTAACCGCTATTGTATAGGATTCAGTTATTCATTATGAGGATCAAGATATGTAGTATATCAATTATACAAGGTACTACCGTATTGTTAAATATTGCAAGACTAACCTTCTAAATTATTATTGCTTGCAAGCTGTTCAGAGGTATAATGTGGCTTAACAGTGCAATTGTTAAGCCACAGTAAACCACATCAATTGTTGAGTCACATCAATTTTTAAGTGACATCAACTCTAAGGAAACTAATGAATGGGCGACCCAACTTGGCCAAGTTATGAAATTGGGGTAAAGCGCCACAGGGCATAGAGATGAGGCTCTAAAGCTGGCAATACGGCCAGTACAATTAATGCGTCCGTGACGTCTTTTAGGTGTTGGGCCGGACCGAAGGAGTGACATGGCATGCATTTAATAATTAATTAACATCTACATTTATCAACTGATCTTCCTGGAATTTCACACAAATATGTAAAACATAAAAATAAAAGCATTTTGACATTAATATTATTATATTATTAAAACATATTATATATTAAAACATATATTATATTATTAAAACATTAATAGGTGTATCAAACATAAAATATGTTATATAGGTACCTATGGTAATTTTAACTTAATTTCCAAGCCGGTCAATGTTACCCCATCACAGCTGCCATTAGGTGGTCAAAGTTACCCCATTGGGGGGCAGCGCCCCCCATTTGCATGGAGGGGGTACTCTGACAGGCTTTAAATAATGGCTCTTTTTTTGTGGATTTTAAATTTTTTAACCTATTAGATATGCAAACTTTTTAAATCTTTCTATTGTGTTACGTAGCCTCAGTATTAGGCCTTTGATGGCCATTGACAAAACTTTTCTATGTCGAATCGTTTTTGAGTTTTGGGGGTTTTGGTTAAAAAAACGAAAAGTGGTCAAAGTAACCCCATTTTATGGTATATATGTGACTTTTTAGCACATTTTCTCGTTCATGGAAAAAATGCCCTATTGTACTCATGTCCGTCCGTCCATCCGTGACTTCACATTTTTGTCAACAAGAAAATGCGCTCTGTCACTCATTGCAGTGAGTACTGAGTTATATTTTTTTATAATTATATGTATGAAATATGTTCATTTTATAATAAGTTCAAGACAACCTAACGCAAAAACCATTGCATGTACATCCATGGTAGTATTAGCTTTTTTAAACAAGCATTGTTTTTAGCTTTCAAACAAATGCAAAAAATTTAAAGTTGATGAGAAAAATGATCTATAAATATGAATTAAATTTAAAGAAATCTTCATACACATTGTTAGAAAATGTTCATCTTGTATATTTTTGAAATGCTTTATGCAAAAGCTATAGAGCACACACGTAAATGTGCTTTGTTGCATTAGATGCGCCTCTTCTGAAGCTACAAAATGAGCCAAGAAAATAGAAGAGCCAAAATTTTCTATTTTTGACCCAGACCCTCCCCTTAACTTGACAAGGGCCCCATAACATGCATTAAATCAAATATGTAAAAGGAAGTCAGATTTTAAGCAAAGACATTACCATAAAAATTCATTATATCTTTATAAGGGAAAACGTTTCGGCATGCAGCTCCATAGTCACTTCATAAAACAAAATTGTTCTGAATTGAATTTTGTGTTATGAACTGATGATGGAGCTGGACTGCGAAAGATTTTTTCTTATAAAGATATGGTGAATTTTTGTGGTATTGTCTTTGCTTTCAAATTCCTGGATAACTTGCGATTTAAGAAAACGTGTGATTTTAACACTTAATAGGGCACTTCATTGGATTCTCTAAATCAATACTAATCTAACTTAATCTTTGAAGTCTCAGTTACATTAAAATGAATTGTAAATTTTAATATATGAAACAAAATTTTTAATACCTTGCGCCACTCACCTTACCCACTCCCCTCTCAGATGGCACTGACAAGCGCATCGCCGTCAAGAACCCCGTTGTGGAGCTCGATGGCGATGAGATGACCAGGATAATCTGGGAGAAGATAAAGGAGAGCCTTATCTTCCCTTATCTTAAGGTGTGTCTAAATGAGAGCCTTATCTTCCCTTATCTTAAGGTGTGTGTCTTGTTGAGTGTTGTATCTTGCCTTATCTTAAGGCGTGTGTCTTATGAGAGCCTTATCTTAAGGTGTGTGTCTTGTTGAGAGCCTTATCTTGCCTTATCTTAAGGCGTGTGTCTTGTTGAGAGCCTTATCTTGCCTTATCTTAACCCATTAATGCCGAGCGGTTCCATTTGGAACCAGCAGGAAAAAATGGCTTCATAATAAAATTGTATGGTCAAATCAATATACTAGCTGTCTCTTATACACATCTAGATGTGTATAAGAGACAGTTCACATACAACGAAAAATAAATATATGAACATATTTTTTGTTTATTACCATCACAAATGATAATATTCTCACAAGAAACCAAAAAAATTTTCAGTAAATAATTCTCGTCATTAATGGGTTAAGGTGAGTGTCTTGTTGAGAGCCTTATCTTGCCTTATCTTAAGGTGTGTCTTATTGAGAGCCTTATCTTGCCTTATCTTAAGGTGGGCCTATCTTAGAGATGGCCTCATTTCTATTATCTGTGACTTAACCTTATCTTGATGATGTATGACAGTCTATCTTAGAGTTGACATCTTATCTCTTATTTTCAAGTTAACCTCATCTTGTCTCTCCTATCTTCGAGCTATCCTTATTTGTTATCTCTTATATTTAATCTAACGTTATCTTATCTCTCTTATCTTAGAGTTAACTTTACCTTATCTCTCTTATCTCATAATTAACCTTATCATACCTGTTATCTTGCTGCTGCATGACAGCTGGACTGCAAGTACTACTCTCAGAATTAACCTCATCTTTCTATTATCTTGGAGGTTAACACCTTCTCTTATCTCTTATCTCATAATTAACCTTATCTCACCCGTTATCTTGCCTCTCTACAACAGCTGGACTGCAAGTACTACTCTCAGAATTACTCTCATCGTTCTATTATCTTGGAGGTTAACTCCTTATCTTATCTCAGAATAACCCTTATCTTATCTCCTATCTTGCCTCCACAACAGCTGGACTGCAAGTACTACGACCTGTCTCAGAATTAACCTTATCTCACCTGTTATCTTGCCTCTCTATGGTAGCTGGACTGCAAGTACTACGACCTGGGGCTGCCGTACCGCGACCAGACGGACGACCAGGTCACCGTGGACGCCGCGCACGCCATCCTCAAGTACAACGTGGGCATCAAGTGTGCTACCATCACCCCAGACGAGGAGAGGGTAGTGGGTATGTGTGGGCATCAAGTGTGCCACCATCACCCCAGATGAGGAGAGGGTAGTGGGTATGTGTGGGCATCAAGTATGTTTGATCCCAGTGTGCTGGGACGTACACTGGGTACGTGTGCTGGGACGTACATTGGTGATGTACACTGGGTACATGGGCTGGGACGTACACTGGGTATGTGTGCTGGGATGTACACTGGGTACGTGTGCTGGGACATACACTGGGTATGTGTGCTGGGACGTACATTGGGGATGTACACTGGGTACGTGGGCTGGGACGTACACTGGGGACGTGTGCTGGGTATGTATATAGTACCCATTAAATGCCTCACTAAGACGTGCCCTATGTTGCAGAGTTCAAGCTGAAGAAGATGTGGCTGTCCCCTAATGGGACAATCAGGAACATCCTGGGCGGGACGGTGTTCCGGGAGCCCATCTTGTGCAAGACCATCCCGCGCCTCGTGCCGGGGTGGACAGAGTCCATCGTCATCGGCAGACACGCACATGGCGACCAGTACAAGGTAGGGGACCTTTCTGGGGCCATCACTAGTGCTGGTCATCTCTAGCTGACCACTAGTGCTGGTCATAAGTAGCTGACCAGCACTAGTATTAGCAGGGTGCATTTTGGTCATGGAAAACCTGTAAAGTTTTTTATGAGTCTGGAAAATTTTGGGTCGTATACGAGTCACTTGTATACAATCTCACAGGTTTTCCATGACCGGTAGGCACCCTGTATTAGTCTCTTATTACATGTAACCGTTGTTACACTTGATAACTTGCTGTTGTTAGAATGTTAATTTCTTTAAAAAGTAATTGCTATAACAATGGCTATAATAATTGTAATATTAGCCCGCCATTGTTGTCCTAACCCCCGCCACCTGCGCAGGCAACGGACTACGTGGTGCCCGGCGCCGGGACGGTCGAGCTGGTGTACACTCCTGAGGGCGGGGCGGCGCCCACCGCCATGAAGGTCTTCGACTTCAAGAGCGGCGGCGGCGTAGCTATGGCCATGTACAACACCGACGCCAGCATACGCGACTTTGCCCACTCCTCCTTCCAGGTGGGCACGTAGTCTCTGCCCCACTCGTCCTTCCAGGTGGGCACGTAGTCTCTGCCCACTGTTGTTTTTTACCGGGACCGCTGCTCAGCGGCGCCCCGGAAAGGCAGCAGCTCCAGGGGAGGAGGAAAGAGCAGTGGTTCCACTCCAAGGATGTCGGAGAAGGAAGGGAGCGATGAGAGGAATGCCGCAGTCGGTCCAGGGTTAGACCAGAAGTGCAGTGGGGTTAGCGAGGTGGGGTGTGATAGGCAGCTGAAGAGGTGATGGGTGGAGTGGTCTATGGCGCCGCACTCAGGGCAGTGTGACGATGTCTGAGTGACGATAGGGTAGC